TTTGTAGAAGGCTGGAGATGGATGGCATGAGACAAATGGCTTGGTCATTGTCTTCGGTCCATCCCCTCCAGAGTACCTAGTGTTGGCCGCTGTCGGCAGACAGGCTATTGGGCTAGATGGACCTTTGGGCTGACCCAGTACGGCCATTCTAAGCTCAGGGCTCAGGGTCGGGGGTCTCACTGGACCACCTTGATTTTCATGCAAACCTGCTCCTGGGTGGCCAGGCTGGCAGCTATCCTGCCCTAGACGGCCACTTTCCTGTGCCTAGTGCGGACGTCGTGGATGAGGTCCACGATCTCCGCACTAGACCAGGTGGGCGCCTGCCTCTTGTGGACCTGGGCAGGGTCTGCTGGCTGGGTGTTGGCAGGCTTGCACCTGGCACGGGCACCGTAGCCAGCCCATGCCTCTTTAAGGGCTCCGGGGCCGGGAGGGGGGCAGAAGAGTTTCCCTGGTGGTGCCCAGAGTGGCCACCAGGGAAAGCTGGGGAGGGCTAGTCTCCCACTAGTTCGAATTAAGTGGCCACACAGCCCTTAATTCGAACTAGGCGTTAGTCCTCGTAGAATGAGGTTTACCTAGCTTGAATTAAGCGCTCCTCTAGTTCGAATTAAGTTCGAACTAGCGGTTTGTATGTGTAGCGCCTATCAAAGTTAATTCAAACTAACGTCTGTTAGTTCGAATTTACTTTGTAGTGTAGACATACCCTGACAGAGGCTAGGGACACCATTCCGACCCATCCTGGCTAATAGCCATGGATGGACCTAACTTCTATGAATTGATCTAGTTCTTTCTTGAACCTTGTTAAGGTCCTGGTCTTCACAGCCTCCTCTGGCAAGGAGTTCCACAGGCCAACCATGCGCTGTGAGAAGAAAAACTTCCTTTTGTTTATTTTAAACCTGCTACCTATTAATTTGGTGCCCCTTAGTTCTTATGGGAACAAGTAAATAATTTTTCCTTATTCACTTTTTCCACACCAGTCATGATTTTATAGACCTCTATCATGTTCCTCCCCCCGTCTTCTCTTTTTTAAGCTGAAAAGTCCCAGTCTTTTTCATCTCTCTTCATATGGTGCATGTTCCAAACCTCTAATTGTTTTTGTTGCCCTTTTTTTAACCCTTTTTCAATGCCGATGTATCTTTTTTTGAGATGAGGCGACCACATCGGTATCCTGTATTCGAGGTACCATGGTTTGTTTCGACTGTCACTGCACATTGAATGGAAGTTTTCAGAGACCTATTCACAATGACTCCAAGATCTCTCCTGAGTAGTTGTAGCTAAATTAGTCCCCATCATATTGTATGTATAGTTGGGATTATTTTTTCCAATGTGCCTTCCTTTAAATTTACCAACATTAAATTTAATTTGCCATTTTGTTTCCGAATCACTTAGTTTTGTGAGATTATTTTTTAAGCTCTTCATAGTCTGCTTTGGTCTTAACTATTTTGAACAGTTTAGCAATATCTGCAAATTTTGCCACTTCACTGTTTACCCCTTTCCCCAGATCATTTATAAACAGGTTGAATAGGATTAGTCCCAGGACAGAGCCTTGGGGGATACCACTAGTTACTTCTCTCCATTCTGAAAACTGACCATTTATTCCTACCCTTTGTTTCCTTTCTTTTAACCAGTTATCAATCCATGAAATGCCCTTCCCTTTTATCCCATGACAACTTACTTTATTTAAGAGCCTTTGGTGAGAGACCTTGTCAAAGGCTTTCTGGAAATCTTAGTACAATGCATCTATTGGATCCCCCTTGTCCACATGTTTGTTGAATCCCTCAAAAAACTCTAGTAGTTTAGTAAGGCATGATTTCCCGTTACAGAATCCATGTTAACTTTTCCCCAACAAATTCTGTTCATCTATGTGTCTGACAGATGAACTATTCTATTCTTTACTATAGTGTCAGCTAATTTGCCCAGTACTGACATTAGACTTGCTGGTCTGCAATTGCCAGAATCACCTCTAGAGACCTTTTAAAATATTGGCATCACATTAGCTATCTTCCAGTTATTAGGTGCAGAAGCCTATTTAAAGGATAGGTTGCAAACCACAGTTAATACTTCCGCAATTTCACATTTGAGTTCTTTCAGAACTCTTGGGTGAATGATATCTGGTCCCGATGACTTGTTACTGTTAAGTTTATTAATTTGTTTCAAAACCTCCTCTAATGACACCTCAATTGAGGACAATTCCTCAGATTTGTTACTTAAAAATAATGGCTGAAGTTTGGGGATCTCCCCAATATCCTCAACCATGAAGACTGAAGCAAAGAATTTATTTAGTTTGTCCGCAATGACTTTATTGTATTTGAGTGCTCCTTTGGCATCTTGATCATCCAGGGGCCCCGCTGGTTCTTTAGCAGCCTTCCTTCTTCTAATAGACTTAAAACATTTTGCTATTACTTTTTAATTTTTTTTTGGCTAGCTGTTCTTCAAACTCCTTTTTGGTTTTCTCATATTTTTACACTTAATTTGACAGTTAGTCTTCCTTTCTATTTTCTTCATTAGAATTTAACTTCCACTTTTCAAACAATGCCTTTTTATCTCTCCTTTTACTTGGTTATTAAGCCACGGTGGCTCCTTTTTTGTTCTCTTACTATGTTTTTTAATTTGGGGTATACATTTAAGTTGGGCCTCTATTATGGTGTCTGGAAAGTTTCCATGCAGCTTGCAAGGTTTTTTTTTTTCTTTTGTCACTGTCCCTTTTAATTTCTGTTTAACTAACCTCCTCATTTTTGCATAGTTTTCCTTTCTGAAATTAAATGCTACAACGTTGCTATACATCTTGGCTACCGCTATACTGTAGCCTTCTTCTGGTAAAGCTTATGCAAATGAAGAGTGGCATGGAATATCGCCACGCTTCATTTGCATAATTAATTAGCAGACGCTTTTATGCAAGAAGAATGAGGAAAAACGGCTCTTGCGCAAAAGTGGCTGCTAATTAATTATGCAAATGGAGCATGGCGATATTCCACTTTGTGCTTCATTTGCATAAGCTTTTGTGGAAAAAGGCTGCACTGTAGCTATAACCCTTGTTTTACTTCTTGTGTTACGATACATCTTGTTTCAAGTGTAGCAAATGTTTGCATGTCCCATTCTCCAGTCAATTGGGGGCAGTTGATCACTCTGTCCATACTATGTAAATGTTTTAAATAAGGGCATAAAATCCTGTTTAATTGGTTAACCGGCCAAATGTGGTGGTTAACTGCCTAAAATGTGATGTTTGACTGGTTAAATGATTAAAGGGATGAGGAGCAAGGGACAGGCTAGAGAGGCCCTCTCTTCCCCATTTCCCCTCCCCCCACCGCAGGCAAGGGCTGCTGTAGCCTGGCCATAGCTGCCCCTGTCCATGTTGGGCCCTGAAGGGCTGGAGTGATGTTAACCTTTCACATCCCTAGTTTTAAGGCCAGATCTTATCTCTGAAAGGTGTTGGAAGTCAGAGAAATTGTATCCTCTTGCATAAATTGTTCCCTTGCGTGAAGAGGTTAGAAGAATCAGGGAGTGCCGCCTCCCAGTTCAAGGGATCTGTGAGAGGGAACTCTCATTGAAGCTCCTATGGCCTGTCATCTGCCTCCAGTCCCCACAGCACATGCATTTCTGCAGGTTTTAAAGGAAGAAGGAAATACTTTGGTTTTGGCATTCCATATATGCTCAGTAAGGCTCTTCTGCTTGAAAGAAGGGGACTATATGTCCCTGGTCTCTTTATTACTCTTGTGCAGATACATTTTTGTGCCCAATAACAGTGAATATAATGTGACTTTTCAAAAATACCTTTGTGAGGTAGGAGTACATATCCTGCTGGTTTTAAGATCAATTTTGTAAGTTGTGCTAACAAGGAAAATAACTAGTAAACTAAATTATGTGGATATGGTGAGACATGCAAGGATCTGTAGGAAGACTCACTATGGTAATGTGTTACACGAGATGGATGTGGACGGCAGAATGCACAAAAACAGACTAAAAACTAAGGATAAGGCAAAACTTGATCATTTCTTTTACCAATAATTTACCTTAGCTCAATATGAAAGAACACAGATCTGAAATTTATTCTAATTTAAGTGTTATATGATGTTGGCTTTTCCCTGTTCTAAAATGTATTTGTTACAGATAGGTTAAAATCCACAGTTCACACATAATCCACTCCTGCTCAAAATCAGTCATCAGAGGGAGAAAGACCAATGAACCAGTTCTGTTCCAAGAGTAATACAAACACCAGATGCTCCCCATTCTGTGACCATGTTTTCCTTCCATTTTTCTAAAAAATTTTCATTCCCAAAGAGAGTTTCTGATGCTGGGTTTTTTGTGCGCACAACCTTAGATGAATGTCCATAACTGGGTTTTGAAAGTGTAGTCTTAACAACTAAGGACCATGCAACAGCATGATTCCTAAATTATATTCCAGTAAGATGGTTTTAAGTTGATGTGTCCTTTTAAGAGTTATTCTTGTTCCACTGTAATTGCAAAAGAAAAAAAATCCATATTTCTTCCCAGTATGCAGACAATAGAAATAGGGAGTCAATAGATTTCCACATTCCTGAACGCCATCTATGGTTTTCCTAAGAAAACTTATGCAGGATGTCCCCAAATTATCAGTGGGCTGCGTTCTTTTGTAATATAATGAAAAATAGCAGAAATAGTTTATTTAACCTTGAATGCTGATGCTTGAATAAAGGTAGGTTTAATTTAGAGGATGATGAGGAAGTAGGTGGAAGTTCTAAAGGGAACTGCTGGGCATCCCCTGGCCTCCAACCCCCACCTTGCAGGCTCTTTGCTGGTTCCTGCGGCCAGTCCCATCGCCCAATTGACTCCTTTCCACCTCCCTGCTGCAAGCTGCACCTAGTCCCTGTCACCAAGAGGCAGCAAGAAGCATGAGCACAGGCCAGAAAACTCTGGAGAAGCAGGGGGAGAGCTATGCAGCTGGCAGCTGGAAAGAAATGGAAGTTTCCCATTCAAAATATTGCTTCTCTGCAGCTGCTGGCTGCATGACCACCCCCTGATCCTCTGGAATAGCTCCAGCCAGCACTTGTGCTGCTCACTGCTACCTGTGCTTCTTGCCTGCTCTGCTGAGGCCTGGGCTGTTCTTACCCATACTCAGAATATACATCTGCATAGGGTATCTGAAAATTTGGGGCACCACTGGGTTTTAATGTTCACTTATTTCTTCCTATCCCTGTTCTGTGGTTCTGCTTCCTCCTGAGACCATCTAGTTAAATTAAAAGTGAAACAGCATGAATCCCCCCCCCCCCCCCCCGGGCTGACTCCAAGGTCTGAGCTTTCAAATGCAGAAGAGCATGGGGACTCTTGTACGTTTCAAAGCAGGCACCCGCTAGCAGCCCGGAGTCGGCAGGACTTCCTGCTGGCCCAGGGCTGTACTGGGGGTTTTGCTTTCCCCAGTGGGAGCTCTTGTACATTTCAAAGGAGGAATCCGGAAGTGCCTATTGACTAGTTGAGTAGTCTATGGAAATTCCATCAACTACTCGACTAGTCAGTTAACTGCAATTTAACATCCTTAATTGTGAGGATGTAAAAATACTGTAAACTGGACTTACAGAGAATATAAATGAAGGGAAGAAAAATAATAAGAAACCCTAATCAAATGAAGTGATTAAGCCACAGATAAACTGTCAAGAGTTATAACTTGCAGTATTGTTGTTACCAAGGAACTGTATGAGAAATGGAGCAAAATTAATGAAGAGAAGATTTAGGAGAACACTCCAGTTATCAAGTTGGAGCATTGTTTTCTAAAGTAGAAAAAACATTTACTTGGTTAAAAGTGCAACACACCAAGAAATTAATAGGAATGATTTAAAAATAAATTCTTTTAATTATCTCTGCTTTGACTCAATCCTAGGATATGCTTTTCTCAGGAGGAGTAGGAATTACAGGTGTAGGTTGATATGTGCTGCAAAGTAGTGCAGTTTTCTGCAGGGAAAATGTCATTTGACATAACTAGTTAATAGGAGCTGGCTTGAAAGCTGACTCCCACCTGCCACTTCCTCCACTGCTGCCCCTCAGACAGAGGCAATAAGGGGTATGTGTGTATGTAACCATTAGGATTAACTGATAAGCCTAGGCTTATCGGTTAATCATGTAAACAGGTATATGTTAACTTCCCTACTAGGTAAGGGTTTTGTGGTGGGAATTAGGAGTGGGCAGGTTTGCTCTGTTATTGATGCACTCTTTGGGAGTGATATCTAATTGCATACATTGAGTGCTCTAGTAACATGGTCTATAAAACATGCAATTGTATGAATTCAGAAACGGGGACACTAAATATTAAATTCCAGAAACAGCTTGTACTAATACCGTGATGACTCTGGCATAAATACTTAGAGCGCGCAAGCAGTCCTCGTATGTTTGTCCTGAATTTTTTTTTTTAAGGTATTGATATATAAATCCAAATCCTTTTGGGAAATATCGGTAGAACTAAGGTGGAGAGGATAAGGAATAGGTCAGTCAGCACATACATATTTCAGACTGCTAACTCGTACCCTTTAGACATTCCTGATGCAGTTTTGTAAATGGTGGGCAGAGAACCCATTCTTGATATTGTCCAAATCTCAATGAGATTCACAGATGTATATGTTTCTACTTATCCTCTGGAAGTCTATAGTTTTAACAATGGAATAGTTTTACATGGTAGCTTCTCTGAATGTATTCCAAATTATCATCATCATCATCCCAGTGCATTGATTAGTATATTACTTACCACCTGCCTGACCTTTCTGATTTGAATCAAATTGTACAATGTGTTCTCAGTTGAATTCTGCCATATTATATAACCACAGGCAACCAGGGCTAGATGTCTGATGGGCTCCATTTCTGGTAACATGTTGCCATGATTGTCTGAGAAACAAAGTAAAAATTGGTATTAAATGTGTGAAAATCTGACAAATTGTGTGACCTTGGGAAAGGTCTGTTTCTCCTTCTTCTCTTTGGTTTTTCTATTTAGTTGGTAAATTATTTGGGGCAGGGATTGTCTATTCCAATATTTAGGTACACAATTTAAACAATGAGGGCCTGATATAAGTTGGGGCCTCTAATAGCTATTGTAATACCGACAACAGTGATGAACTATATATTTTTAAAGCAAAGCAACTAGCCTTGCAAGTATTCAGGGCAAGAGCAATTTAAAAAATGGTGAGTCAAACTCTGAATATTCAAAACTAATGACTGTTTGCTGCTGCTGGGCTTAACACTAAAGTTTGGATGAGAGAGGTGAACTTTTCATACCTGGAATATTTTGTGCAACCAATGGTTCTTGAAGGCTCTTGAGTCTATTGTAAAATTTGTTATCTGCTTCATCTGTGTTCTTCCCAAGTTCTCCTTCCACTGTAAAATGGACTTGTGGTGCAGCGTGTTGGTTGCCCAGATAATAAAGAATTTGAGCAGTGCAGTTAATGATATTGTCCTGTTACCGAAATAGTTAATGGATTTTATCAATTTTAATAAAATAAAATAGACAGTATGTAGAAACCCCACAAGGTATCTGTTTTACTATTTTTAGTAGTAGCAATTTTCTCTGCAAGTCTAATGTGTGAGGATATACAGACTATTTCATTAAGATATAAGCAGGGTCAAAATGTTAATTACTCTTAAATATATGAACAGATTTATGTAGTTTATATAGAACTTATCAAAGCTATATATTTAATGATGGTGTTTTCCCTTTTATATCATTTTGATATAAATTTGACAGTATTCTGCTTCTGTTGTTTAGCTATAGAAATGTATTCAAATGAAGTCTGCAAATTGAAGACATCATCTGACTCACAGTAGATGATACCAAGACATCTTTGTTTTTAATATACTAGTTGCATCTTTGAACAAAGTGCCATAGCATGGTGGCATGCAGCAAAAAGTTATTTTTTAGGGCTTTGTTGGTGCAGAAACTGGCTGTTTCTTATTTTGGTTAAATCTAGTCCTGTGGCCTGATTAGTAATGAAGGAAGCTCTGAAATTTGTATCGTGCTCCAGTTTTACAACCAGATCACTTTCAAATGATTATTTACTGAACAGAGAGCAAGCAGGGACCCATTATACTGGGTGCTGACTACACATCACTTAAAAATTCCAAGTAAATAAAATAGAACTGACCTTGTGAAGGAAGTCTTCTATTGCAAATTTAAGGTGGTATTTATGTCCAACACCAGAAATGTCCTAAAGGGAGGAAATATATATATATATATATTTAAGTTAAGCTGATCAATCTTTAATCCTCATTTCTGTGCAAGATAGAGATTATCATATTTCACAGGAATAACCCAAACAATACACACTGCCACTCTGTATGGTACAAATTCAACTATTGATTTGTTTCTTGAGTATATGTGGCCAGACTTAAAGGTAGTGATAATCATTTAATACATAGTACTAATGTTCCTCATGTCACATCTGGTTAGTTTGTCATTGTCCTGTTTAATTAAAGTCCAGTCATGTAAAATACATCCAGTGCAGAAGGAACATGCAGGGGCCAGTCTGCCATGTAAATCCCATTCTTATGGCTCTTAAGTACTACAGTATTACAAATAATAAGTGTTGTTTGGGCCCTGTGCATCAGGTGCCTTTCACTCTCCAGGAATTAAGAACTGTATGTGGTCTTAAGAGTATTTGAGCTGTAAAATGAAAACGGTACATAATATTATAGTCTTAGCTCCAAGACTAAGCTGTTTGTTGTGTTCTGAAACCGTCTCAAATCAAGGACAGCTCTGTGCTGAGAGAGCCCCAGCTGTTCTGATAGTAACCATGATGACAGTATATTTCCAGCCAAGCATGGTTAAATGAGGTTGTTGGTGTAAAGGTGGTAATACTGATACAGACAGAGCCTTAAGTCTCACCAGTACTGAAGAAGCTGCAGTGTTAGGGTCACAGTTACTACACAGTAGTCCTTTCCCAACTATTTAACGTTTCATACTAGCATTGTAGGTGGATTTAGCTGTGTTCCTGAACTGTGCTAACTGCTTGGGCAATAGCAAAATGGCTGCTCAGGTTGGAACATAGTTGATTCATAGCTGCAAGGCAAGACTAAACCCCTTTTTAATCACATTGTAGCCAAGTACTTCAGCACAACAGACTATATAATAGAGGAGGTGTTGAACTAGAGAATAGTCTTTGCAAAAAGTTACCACCACCAGGTTACTTATGGTTTCTCTGCTGGTTCGATGTGATATTAAAAGAAGTCAGAGGAAAGAATAGTGAAGATGAAAAAACAGCTTTGTCTCTATACTTCAGAACTACAAAAAAAGAAAATGAGCACAAGTTGTTTATTATTTAGACTTGTGCCACTAGTAGGTGCAAGGTCACTTAAGACATATTAGAGCATGGGATATTTGAGCAGATCTGCCCCAACTCTTATCTGTAAGAACAATAAAGATAAAGCTTAAATTAGTGACACAGATTTATTAATACTTTCCATTTATATTGTGGTCCAGTTTCAAAATGCACAAACAGTGAGTGATCTTTACTACACTCTTGTGGAGAATTGTTTCAGTGTCCAAGTCATTTCTCCAAGACAACACCATTATCAAGTAAGAAACAGTATTAGAATTTGGGAACTCCTGGCTCCCAGACAGGTGCACGGTCCAGTAGACAATTCAGCTTATTTATCAAATGGGGGTTAGGGATGTGAACAACTAGTTGCTTTCCCCCACCTTGCTGCCTCTGTCAGAGGGGACGAAGAGAGGGTACTTCAAAGCGGCAGCACCATGTGGAGCCTAGGGGCTGTTGCTACACTTCAAAGGTGAAAGTGTTGCAGGGAACATGGGGCCAGTGAGGTAGACCCTGTTGGCCCCTTGTTCCCCATGGCGTTTCTAAGCGGGCAGCTCCAAGTGGAGCCCAGGATCAGCTCAAGATCACACAAGAGCGCATCCACACTGCCATGTGCTTTTGCCCAAAAGAGTTTCCAAACTGCCATGAACATTCTTCTGCAAGAAAGCTCTGATGGCCGTTCACAGAAACCCGTTGTTCATCCACACATGCCTTTTTGCACAAGAACTCTTGCGCAAAAAGGCTTATTCCTCGTAGAGTAGAAAAAGGAATAACTTGTGCAAAAAGCCCTGTCTTCAGACGATCTACTGTACTTGCACAAAAATGCGCTTGTAGTGTGGATGCTCTGTGAATTTTTGCGCAAAAACTCTGCAGTGTTGATGTAGCTCAAGTTGCATAACTTATTTCAGCTTTAGCCCTGCTGTGTAGAGTACCCATAGTCATTGAAAACAGTGAAGTTCTAATGAAGGCATATTACACACACACACATACATTGAGTGTATAGACTTTTAGGTATTGATCCTGAAGAGAGACACATAGATAAGTAATGTTACACACAGGAATAGTCAAGCATATGTGTAAGTTTTTGTAAAATTTAAGCCTGCATGTGTCCAGAGCCTCTTCTGTTTCTCTTTTAATGTGAAACTGTGTTTGGTTTCTGATATTTTACAGAAACTGTAGAGACATTCTCAAATCTTCTGTGTGGTGTGGTTTTTTTTTTTTTTTAGCACTTCATTTTAAAACACGAAGACCTAATCACAAATTCTGGGAGCTATTTATAAGCAGAACTTGTCATTCTTTTTATTATCGGGAATACTCACGCCACCCTCTTAGTATTTTCACACCAAAGTAACAGCTTGGATAATTTTTTTTTAATTCAAAGCATAATGTGGATAATTTTTTGTAAATGTGTGCAGAAGATTATCCAAGCATTTCTCATTACAATCAGTTGGAGTAGTATTGACTAAATCCCAAAGATACAAATTTTACTCAAAATGCTTGGCATCTTATGTAGGAGTCATGTTTTGATTTGGATTGTTTTAGTAATGCACTGTGAAGTTTTTTCTTAACTGGCTGTTATATTGAAGAAAGTCAAAGCATAATTATGAGCTAGAAAACTAAATGCTGAGTGTCTCTGGTATCTCAAACTTGTCCAGAAATGAGAACTTGAAGCCAAATCTCCTTCATTCTTCAGGCTTGTCTTTGTTGTCTGTGGTCCAAACTGGACATGAGCTTGGCTTATTTTCAGCACTGACATGACTTACTTTCAGTCATGACAGTATTTTCATGAGTCAAGTCCTACTTAAATATATGAGCTTTTAAATGATGACTCTGGTATTTTTATTTGTGGTGGTGGTGGCTGCAGCTTCTGGTTCCAGGCTTTTCTTTGTAACTGTGAGGGTTACTTCTTTAAAAAACGAATGTAGAAAACTGCATGACTTCAGGAACTGGAGTTTTAGGCACAACCCCAAATATAGCAATATCCCTGATAAAATCAGGAGTTTGGGTAACACTAGTTTCACTTGTCTGAACACTTCTTTTTACACCATAACAGAATCATAATCTAGCCTAAATCTTCCTGGGTTAAAACTTTGTCCTGTGTGGGAACAATATTTTAACATTAGATGATTTAAGTCCATTTTATGTAAAGATACATTTTAATGTTCTGAGACACAAAGCTAAAGCAAACTATGGCTTTCTGTAGCACAGCGGGCCGAAGTTTTGGCTGGGTGGAATTACACTACTTCTTAATTTCTGCTGCCCTTCTGCCAGGGAACATGAGTGAGTCGCTGCTATGAGACACTTCCCAGGGTAGGAAACGGGAGCTCTCCCTGCCCTTGCACGGAGGAGAGCAGTAGGGAGTGGCCCTGGAGCAATCATTTCCTTTACACCATAGCCAACACGGAAACTAGCGACTCTGCGCCGAGCGTGCCCCGAATGCGCTGGGCTGCGTCCAGTTTTCTAGAGCCAGACTAACCGCGCTGGGGCTCGTTCTTGTTCATGGGTCGCTCTTGACAATAATTTCCCCTCTGCACACACTCACCTCCCTGCTGGCTTTGGTCACCTCCTGCAACATAAAGACTTTATTGGGGCCGCCATGCTGGTAGTTGATGTAGTTCCGTGCTACCGCGGCTGCTCTCGTAGCTGGGTAGTGGGACGGGGGGATTTCCATGGAGCAGGGCGCTTTAGTCGCTGGCACAAGCGGGAAGGGTCGGGGAACGTACGATCCCTTCAGCTGCCGCTCCCACGGAAGCAGGAAGCAGCAGGCTCGGCGGAGTGTGGGCAGAGCCTTCGTGCGCAGTGACGCGGCTGATGCGGGTACACATCTGGCTACTGCGGGACACCTGTTCGGCACCTAGCGGGGCAGCTGTGTTTTACTTTCGCTTTTGCGAAGGAGGAATGACGAGCGGCGGTATCTGGGACGATCTAATGCGGGAGGTTGAACATTGTGTGTGGAATCCTTTCCAAATACTGCCCCTAAAATGAACCGTGCTAATAACAGGTCTGTAATCAGCTGTGTCTCAGCTTCTGCTTTTGTCCATATTTTATAAATCCAGTTTTTGCTGTTGCATTCTTTGTTAATACATGTGATTAGGCATATTCACTTCTGGAGCTTATTCTGCCCCCTAAAAGACTGTCCTGTCCAGTTTGTCTGTCCTGTTGGTATAGGGGACTGTCTTGATCATCCACGCTTAAGCAGCTAATGCTGTATGAAAAAACTGCATTTCTTTTTAGCAAAAGTGTTGTCTGTATTTCTTCATTCTCTGTTACACGGGACATTTGCATGACAATTAGATCCCTGACTTTCTGTCAAGATTTTCTTTAGGTATCTGAACACTTTAGACATGTTTTGACATTTCAATTTTTGCATCCACAAATGTGATTTCACATTTGAGGATCTTGACTTAAAGAGGAGGCTAGACAGCAAAAGAAAATGAATTTGAGGCTGCAAGAATTCTGATTTCCTTGCTGATATTCCATAATAGCATCTGTAAGCTATGTTATGTTTTTAGTATAGACTATTTGGGAGTGTTTGGACTGTAGTGACCTATAAAGTACTCTCCTGCCTTTTATTCCTTTAGAGTAGTGAATCATGCTATTCATCATGTGACTCCTTGAATATAATTGGCGGCTGTTTCAGTGATTAATAGAAATTCATAGTTATTTTGGTTATGCATATCAAAATAGGATAAGGCAAATTGTCTGTATAGGGACATGTTCTTTTGGAATTATGACTATAGATTAGCTTCTATGATAGATAACACAGTGTGTTGTCTTTTTAGGTTTGACTATACTCACAAGAGACAGTCTGGTGGGGCAGGTCAGTATGGTAAAGTAATAGGGGTTCTACAGCCTCTGGATCCAGAGAACTACACTCAGTTGGAGTTTGAAGACAGAACTGTTGGAACCAACGTCCCAAAGCAGTTTGTACCTGCTGTGGAAAAGGTGACAAGTATTTTCTAATATTTTGTATTTATTATACAACAGTTGCACAATTCTTACCTTCCTCTTGCATTGTCATCCCTGAGGAGACCAGTCCTGCCTCATTGAAGGCAATGAGAGTTTTACCGTTGAATTCAAGTTCAGGCAGGATCAAGGCCTATATGTGGTTTTACAGTGTTTTTCCCAATTCCTAAGAGTTCCAGTTTTCCATGTAATTGAGAAGCTCTTCTTGCGGGAGAAACATTCTTTTCTTTACTATGTTATGTTTTTACATCTTGTTTTTTCTTCTTGTCAAGTAATAGAACTAGAATTACTAGTTTAGGATTATACCTGCTGTGAAGCTTGCTTTCTGTTAGCAAAAAGATTGGTGCTTAATCTTTTGAGGCAGTTTACTGTTCCTTACACACTGCCATTAACATTATCCTTTTTAAAACTGTATTTTGGAGTGAAAATTGTTGACTTGGAGACACTTCTCCACAGGGATTCCGTGAAGCTTGTGAAAAGGGTCCTCTAATAGGTCACAAGATTTCTGGAGTCCGGTTTGTCCTAGAAGATGGTGCACATCACATGGTGGATTCTAATGAATACTCTTTCATCCGAGCAGGCGAAGGGGCGCTCAAACAAGGTATCAACCCACTTTTAGATGGGCTGTTCTATATGTTCATGATGGGATCTTAGTTAAAACCAAATTAAGCTATTGATTTTATTTGTATGCTCATTGCTTGCTTGCCTGCCTCTATTCATACACAATTCCCATTCAGAGACACTCAGCTGAATTTAACCTATGTTGAGCAGTGGATGTATAAGATTTGTAGAAATTCCAAACAGCCTTTCTGAGAAATGTGACTTCACCCCTGAATTTGTAGAAAGGAGACAATGAACCCTTTTTGCATAGATCTTACTGGGAACTACCCCTTCCCTAATCACCCTGTAAAGGTAATGATGTTTGAACAGGCTTTCCTGGAGTTGCATGCAGAATAGGTGGTACCTGCTACAGAATACATTGATTCTTTTAATGATATAAAATTAATGCTTTATTAGCATCTAATGATAGCACTGCTAAGTTTTATCAGAATGATTCACAAAATTGAAGAATATAATACTCAGAAGCTCCTAGCTAGACAATGGGCTAGATTCTGATCTTATTTGCATTAATGAAACTGAAATAAAAATATGGCCCAATGTTTGTGTATTTACTTCCTAATTCATACTCCTTGAGTATCTCCATATGGTCTTATGTTCTTCACTAACAACATTAGATTGTACAGTTATATTTGAAAGAACATATACTCTGATATTTTAATGGTAAACCTTATTTCCCCTGTGTAAATGTTACAAATTAATGAATGTACATGACATACCAACTAGGATAAGGAATTGGCAACTTTTGAGATCAGTAAAGGGTTTCTTCTAGAAGCTGGTCTTCCAACCATACTGAGAAGCTGTTGATTCTAAATAGAACTTGGGTTAGAAGGGATGAAAACTTTCCATAGCCTTTACATTCTGCAGAAATAATAAAACTTGTCATAGGAACCTGTCTTGATTGCTCAGTTCCAAGCATTTGTCACTGATTAAATTAATTTCAAAGTCAAATACAACATCTGTACACTGATCTATTTTAAGATGGGTTTATTTTTCTGTTTCTTTAAGTACAAATTGTGATCATGTCTCTTCCCCATCACTAAAACTGATTATTTCAAATGCTTGTTAAATAATTTCAAAATGACGCTGTCAGATCTTTTTTGAATGCATCCAGCTGAACAGCAAATAGAAGTCCCATCTAAGTAAAAGTGAGGAAACATGGTGTATGTGTCATACCTCTGTAAGAGTTGTTAATTCCCCAAGGAAACAGGGAAGTAATTTTTTCTAACAGTATCTGAGATGATACTTCCCTGAGCCTAAAATAAATTCAGGTTATTGAGAAGAGAAGACAGCCTGAGGAAATGGTTCTTTCTGCACTTCAAATGTCCATTCAGCAAAATAGTCATAATTAATGGTTCATAGGAGGTAAACCCTCTTGTGGGGTAGCCATGTTAGTCTGTAACTTTAAAATCGAGTAGTCCTGTGGCACCTTAGAGACTAACCAAAATATATAGAATCATGAGCTTTCGTGGGTAAACCCCACTTCATTACCATTGAATCTAACATCAGCATTTTCTAATCATCTTCCTCTGTAGTAAAAACAACAAGGAGTCTGGTGCACATTAAAGACTTAAAAATTTTATTATGGCCTATGCTTTTTTGAGTTGCAACTCACTTCATCAGATGCATGAAGGGAAAGAAAAAGAAACAGATAGTAGGGATATAGAGATGAGTGTTACATAAGAGCTAATTTAATCAGGGTGGATGTGGATAAGAAAGTGAGAAAACCTAAAGTGGAAAATTACTTATTGCAGTGAGCGAGCCAGTCCCAGTCCCTGTTCAGACCCATTCTTTTGGTGTCAAATTTACATATGAATTGCAGTTCAGCAGTTTCATATTGCAGCCTATTTTTGAAGGTTTTTGCTTGAGGGTGGCAACTTTCAAGCCTGTAACTGTGTGTCCAGGGAGGTTAAAATGTTCTCCCACTGGTTTTTGTGTGTTACCATTTTTGATGCTTGATTTATGTTCACGTTTTCTGTTTGTCAAATGTACATGGCATAGGGACATTGCTGGCACATGATGACATGTATCACATTAATAGATGTGCAGGAGAACAAGCCTTTGAAATTATAAGCTGATGTGGTTGGTTCCTATTCTGGTGTTAAGAGGGTATATGTATGGACAGAGTTGGCAATGAGATTTGTTGCTGGAATTGGTTCCTGGGTTAGTGTTTATGTTGTGGAGTGTGTGGTTGGTGGTGAGTATGTGTTTCATGTTGGAGGGGCTGCCTGTAAGCGAGGAATGGTCTGCCTGCTAAGGTCTGTGAGAGCAAGGGATTGTCATCTAGGATAGAGTATAGTTCCTTAATTTCTGCTAAGGTCTGTGAGAGCAAGGGATTGTCATCTGGGATAGACTATAGTTCCTTAATGCTGTGTTGGAGAGATTTTAGCTGGGGGCTGTAGGTATTGGCCAGTGGCGTGTTTTCTTGCTTTTTGTTGGGTTTGTCCTGTAGTAGGTGACTTCTAGGTATATGCCCCAGCCATAGCTTAATTCCCGGTTATGAATCCCAGCTCTACTCCTGGCCTTGGCCCCTAGCCCTGGCTGCAGCTCCAGGCTGTGGCTTAGCTGGTGATTCTAGCTAAGGCATCACCCCTGGTCTCCAGTGCTTTATCCCTTTGGCATGGCTCCGCCCCTCCAGCTGTGGCTGTGCCCTTGGCCATTGTCCTGGCCTAAGGGGACATGGATGCTTTCTGGTAAGAGTAGGTTGTGAGAGGAAAAGTTTGGGCATTTCCAGACTGGAGAGTACAAGTACCCACCGAGTGAGGCTGGAAATAAAGACTTCCAATAATGTAAGATATATACTTTAATATTAATCACGAAAGCCCTTGACATTGTTGTGTCAGAATATCATGACTATTAAGTAATTGCAGCCAGGATTCTCCATTAGTTCCAGTGGTGGTCCATGCACAAATTAACTTTTAGCTAAATGTAGCCTTTCAGAACTGCCATGGAAATCTTCAAGCTCAGCTGCAGCATCTGTTTTCTCACCCTTTACTGCCATAATGATTATAATGGGAAATGAACACACTCTGTCACTCTTGGCCTTATCCAAGCACTTTGAAGTCAGTGGGAAAACTTCCATTAACTTAAGTGGGCTTTGGATTAGGTCTGGTGGCCTAGTGATTGAATAGAATTTAGCAACCTTGGGATAATTTTTGAAGAATGTGTAATGTGAATGGATGAGGAAAGCCTAAGGATGTAACTATTCTGCTTTTTATCTTCCTCTTTATCTAGCTATGGAAAATGCAGCTTCGTACATACTTGAGCCCATAATGTCTGTGGAAGTTGTAGCACCAGTTGAATTCCAAGGAGCTGTGATTGCTGGAGTTAATCGTCGTCATGGAGTGATCACAGGACAAGATGGCGTAGATGGCTATTTCACTCTGTATGCTGATGTATGTGCTGTTCAGTGTGTCTAAACCTCTTCCCTTTCAATGACAGACATAAAGATCATTTTAAGGAACTTTGTTTTAATACTAGCCAATTATCCCATCATAAGACTGGATTTTCAGGTCTCTCCTCTACGTTGGTCTTCTCTCCTGAGCCTCCAGTCTCTCGCTCCGTCTCTCTCTCTCTCTCCTCCTACTGCCTCCCCCCCTCTCTCTCAGCTCTCCTCTGCCTTCTGCCTCTCTCTCCGTCTCTCTCTTTCTCTTCTCTCCCTCCTGCCTCTCACTCTCTCTCCACTCTCCTCTGTTTCCATCGGGGATGCCCCGCCCCTTGGGCATGTATGTCGCCGCTCAGCTGGGCCACCACGTGGGAGCAAGCGACACAAATGGCCTCTCTCTCTCCTCCTCCTAATTCCTCGCCCTCTTTCTCTCTCAGCTCTTGTTCGCCTCCTGCCTCTCTCTCCAATCTCTCTTTCTCTTCACCCCCTCCCTCCTCTCACTCTGTTTCTCTTCTCCTGCTGCTGCTGCGTCTCTCTCACTCTCTCTCTTGCTGTCCTCCGCCTCCTCTGTTCTCCTCGCTGTCTCCTCCGCGTCCTCTGTGTCTGCTCTGCTTTCCTCCTTTTGAATCTGGCGCCCTTTCCTGACGTCAGAGACGCACACTCATCTAGGCCCCGCCCTCTGGCTGTTCCCTCTGGGCGGTGCTGTTGCCTCCCCCCATGGTGCGAGGCTGACTTCTGTGCGGCTCAGCCAGGCCACCGCGC